CAGTGGGATTACAGAATCTTATGGCGCAGGCAATTTTTTTGTAATATCGTTAAGAAGATTACGTTTTATACTTCAACATGGGGATAATAGTATTACGTTACTATAAATACACAAATGTAACATCGCTAAAAACACGCTTTGTGGTTTCACAAAATAAAAGAAGTAAAATACAAGTAATCATACTAATATTATAAATGCGAATGTTTTTATAATATTAGTATGATTACTTGTATTTTACTTCTTTTATTTTGTGAAACCACAAAGCGTGTTTTTAGCGATGTTACATTTGTGTATTTATAGTTATCATACTAATATTATAAATGCGAATGTTTAGAAGGAGCGTCGGTGGCTCAGTGGTTTAAGCACTTGACTTGTAATCTACAGGTCTTGGGTTCGAATCCCGCCGCCATGTACCAATGTGATTTTCGATTTTTCGAATTTTCATATGTACATAATTTACCCGACGTTCTTACGGTGAAGGAAAACATCGTGATGCAACCTGCACATATCCGCGAAGAAATTCAAAGATATGTGTGAAGTCAACCAACCCGCACTTGGCCAGCGTGGTTGACTATGGCCTAGTCACCCTAACATTAGGGTAGGCTCCGAGCCCCTCGGTGGGGACATATAGTGAGCTGGTGATGATGATGATGATGATGATGAATGTTTAGATGGATGTTTGTTAGAGTTTGTAGCCTACACGGCTGAACGGATCCCCATGAAATTTGGCATAGTGGATATTCTGGAAGAACACATAGGCTTACTTTTGTTTTTGTTTTTTTTTTTTTAATTTCATGCCAACGGAGTCGCGGGCAAAGTCTAGTTGGTAAATAAATGTTTACTTCTACGCGTTACTCAGATCTCAAAACAAAATTGATATTATCCGATTGAGTAATAACAGCGTAAAAAGGATTAGCAGATAACCAACCCCAATGACTTCTTCCGACAATTATAAGAGAACCGGATGAATATTTCCTACGAAGTCGGAAAAGCGGAGACACACATTTCCATTTTAGCCGACGAGACCCGGATGGTAATAAATTTCTGATGTAGGGTACCCCGTATCGATTGCATTGCCAGAGAGGGGCTCTGTTTGTGCTGAGCAGGTATGACATCACGAAATAAACTCGATTGATAAAAATAAATCTAGGACATTATGTTTCAATATGGTTTTTTGTTACTACGGAATTTTACTCGATACATTTACGTTTGAAAAAAGACTTGTGTGCGTCAACCAGTTTATCAACTCGTGGAGTGGGACGGGTTAGTCGAAAACCTTTTTTTTTTTTCAAATACGATTTTGTACTTATAGTCTGTATCTTATCTGTTGCTGACATACTGTGTCAATTGTGTTAAGATTACTATTATTTAAATAATATTTTCTATAATTTCATTGTAAAGATGTATAAATCTTCTATTATAGTGTCGGCTTGGAAGCACAGCGCAGAGCTATGCGCTTGGCTCTACTTGCCAATTGAACTAATTATGCTGTTAACGGGATTATATTTTTAGAAACATGTAACAGTCTGGTGTTGCAATAACTTGTCCCTAGAACTGGACCCTTACAATATCTTTTTAATTGTACTGTATCTCAGAAATTGTAAACGCAAAAGTTTTTTCTAACAAAGTAATCTATGATTTATGTCACTAAGTTGGAAGTTTAAAACGCGACGACTTAATTCGACGATTAAATTTAGACGTTTCTACTACACAAACTAATGAGCGACCGGGGTCCAACTCCCCTCGGGGATGTTTTGCTAACGTTGCAGCGTGCCATAGTGCTGAATAAATAAAATGCAATTAAGAACAGGGAGCCACACAATTGCACCCCTATGCGAGACAAGTTTCCGCGAATCACTGACGAAATCTCATAACAAAATACATCGCAGATAATAATTCAAGATATAATAATATTATAACATAGATTGAGGTAACTTCAATTTAACACGTTTCATTACACTCGGAAGAACATCGAACGTAATCGCCTTTATTCAAAGGTACACGAATGTATGTCCGCTAATGTGGAAGCGCTGCGTGAACCACCGGGCCACGTGCGGGGCGTAACCATGGCAACCGAGGAAACTACGTCGTTTACGTCCCCCTACTCTCCTTGCTAAATTTATGTTTTCCTTTGATATAGAAATTGTTCTCTTATGGGTGCGTAAACATTTTTTAATACATTTCTAAGTACCCAACAAATATTATTTGAAAAAACTCTCAGGAAAGTAGGCTAGTAGGAGGTATACATAAAAAGGCGAAATTTTTGGCAGAGATATTAAATCGTTTTCATATAAATACAAATATTGCGTTGGATCTCTTGAAATGAACTAGCTGTAACAATAAAATAAGTGGAAGCGAGTTGGCGGGATTTAGCAGGACGATTTAGGGCAACAAGTATTAGGGCGTCTCAAGATATTATGTTATGACAAATGACTGGGCGTTAAGACTTGTATAAATGAACGTACATTATATAGGGGGATTTAAGATATAAAAAAAATGTTATAAAAAGTCATTTAGTACGTTAGTAGTTTATTAGATAAAGTATCAATCCTCGTACAATTTCAGTATCAATCTATTACAGAAATATGTCGTAACTTAGTATTAGAAACTATAACGACCACGTTATTCTGACCTCAAATCTAATTGAGGTATTCGTAGGTAACATTAAAAACAAATTGCTAATACCAAAATTGGATAATTCCTTACACTAAAGTATGTTGAAATGTAGTTAATTTTTTGTCGATTCGTGTAACTTAATGTTATATGACTACTGTAAAATATTTAATACTATATATCCCCCCGACTCCGCACGCGTGGAATTTATCATTATGATTGTCACATGGAATCTCCCTACATATTAGATAGCATGTAGTTGTAAATATAAAATATTACTTTAATTTAAGAACAGCAATAAAGGCTTCTTTATATTATATCATTTTATTTATTATATCAGTGTGTATTTTTATCCTTCGCAACTATCGGCATACATATTCGTATACCGAGCGTCCACCCCGCGTAGCCGTACTGTCGCCATTTGATCCCTGTCAATACGCAATTGTGTTTACCCATCAGATTCCCCCATTGTTATTGGAAATCCCGTTCCCTGTTCGTGTCTGTGGTTTACTGAGCGGTTCTGTGCCGACTGAGCCACCGCAGATCGTGTTTGATAATACGATTTCGGGATGCCGGTTCAAACTCCCGTATGTTGCCAAACATTCTTTTCTGCTATGTTTAATTTAGCTATTACTTTAAAACGATTCGACGTTACTTAAATATCTTTTATTTAATGTAAAATGATCAAACAAGATTTGTTTTGATCATGTTTTAATGTAGAATAAGGTTCACATTTATGTTACAGATTCTTGTTTGACATTTAATTAAGTCTTCATCAGAGTATGAACAGTGTAAGTTAATTTTCAATTGAGCAAAGAGCCGCTGATTGGCAATGATCGCCTCATCCGGCCGTCGGCGAATCTAATAGTGAAAGTAATTGACCGATCGATCGGAAAACCTACGAGTATAAATAGATTATTCGTTACATATTTGGAAATATTGGTAATTAGCTTTTGCCCGCGACTCCGTCCGCGTAGAATTAAAAAACAAAACTGAGTAGCCTATATGTTCTTCCAGACTATCCTCTACGTCTATGCCAAATTTCATCGAAATCCGTTCAGCCGTTTAGGCTACAAACTCTAACAAACATCCATCCATCCATCCCTCTAAACATTCGCATTTATAATATTAGTTTGAAGTATGATTAAAGTTAGTGCTATGTGACCCTAAAACTTAAACGCGACTTGTTAAATGTCAATTTAGATACTTAAACTAAATACTTGTAAGGCGATTTGGAATCAATGTAATTTAAGTCAAGTTGTTTTCGCACAATTTTTCTCAGCAAAAAAAAAACAATTAATAACGTTATACATACTATAGGGACTATAAAATGTTAATCTAGCGATCTACCTAATTCAGAGTAGCAAGATGCATAAAGGGATACACTTGCAGCTATGTTGCATAACTAGGTCGCTGCAGAGCGAAGTAATTACTTGAGTTGTAGCGACAAAGACTATGATATCTAATTTCTGGCCGGTCATTGTGACAGGCTACAAACATAATACATACAATGTGCCCGGAGCCGTGGCGAAGGCCGAATCGCAAGGCATAACCAATGCACTCACAGTTATGTATTCCGATTAATATAGCTTGAAAATCTGTTAAACACTGTTGCACGAAAAAGAATGAAAAACACAATCGTATAAACAGTACACTTATCTATACCCTTCTAGATAACTCCGACTACCTTTTACGAAATTTTACGAAAAAAGTAAATGATTGTCCAATAAACAAAATATGTTAAATATCGATGGTTAAAAACAAAAGAGTAAAACAAAAGACTGTTAGTAAAGTATTACCGCATATTGTGGTAAAGAAATTAAGTTTAAAATCCCAAGCATTAGTTGCGGTTAACCGCAGTAAGTAGCGTATTGCTTTAGTGCAAGAACTTAAAATAGCATTATGACTAATCTTACAGTGCAGTTGCAAGATGTAACTTGATAAAGTGAATAAAACATGCTAACTTAGACAGCTGCATCACTTAACTAACATTGTCTTAAAGTTGGCGTGTTCATTGTACATAACTGTCGCTATTTGTGACAAAGTTACTTAATTAACTTCAGTTGTAAGCTTCTTTTTAAGCTATAGAAATAATAGAAATTAAGTTATGATTAGTGTGCACTAAAGTTGATTATTTCTTTGAATTAAGTCGTTGTGGTTTTATCTTTAACGCATTGAATAAGGCAAAATGCTATGGTAGAAATTTTAAAAAATCACTTTAGACATTTGTGACTGGGCAAACCCCAATGACAACACCAAAGCAATTAAGGCCAAGGTCCATAACTAAGACTTCAAATTAAAATACTAAATAATTAACGAAATGTTGTTTATTATTGTTTGCGAAAGGAAAATTTTACAGTACTAATTTTTCAATTATTTCATTTCAGATCTACCGGATTATAAATAGAAACGTTAACTGCTGTCCGATTAGAAAGGTAAATAAAACAAATTGTACTTTAAAAGTGTACCTATAAAAACAACTAAAAGCAGACAATCAAAGTATACATTTAGCAAAGTAGAATCAAAGAGGAATGCTGACATATCGAAACTATGGCAAAAAGCGACAATACGGTCAATTCAATGGCATACTTGTTCGATGTCGTCATTGCTCTAAAAATAACATCGTTTCGCAACCGGCTCCAGAGCGAGTGCCCACTATCATCCTGTTAAATAGACGGGATGAACTGTCGTTGAATGACGGAAGAAAACAACTTAGGAAAATACCGCTGTATGCACATTCGTAACGTGTTATAATGCAAATTATAAACTGTAATTTACACTTACTGGTATACTCTAATGAGCTTATTTGAAAGAGTGATGTTGCGTATATTGAACAATAACAAAAGTCCGATATTAATTTTATATATCATGTCATTACATAAAATATATTTAAAGGAATAGTATACTTTTTTAACAGTCGTCCAATATTTTTTGCCGAAGGATACTCGTATTTGCTGATAATTGTGACGTAGGGTACGGATATGAACAGATGTATGTGTGATAATGATGTGAGGGTAAAGAGTGGCAGATGCATCGCTATTGAAGTAGGCCAGTAAGCCGGTGTATCATAACCAGCGCTATTATCAGCAATCAGACGGCGACCTTGCCGCTCGTTGTCGCACGTCGTGGGGAGCAGATTGTCATCCTCCATTCCGGCATCCGCCTTACGTGATACGTGCACTTCCATTATGTAACACCTTGTCACACATCAAATATTCGTACGCGATAACGCGCGACGCCACAAGACCTCACTTTATGAATACTTTATTTATTCAGTGGCCTCATGCTAATGTTGTCTATGAAATTCAGATCCAAAGACAAAACTTTACAAATATTTACAAGAAAAAATCATATATATAGTTATTTATTCTTCCCGAGATCAATCAAATAATAATAAGACGCAATTTAAAAGATTTCAACCACTTTCTACGTACATTTTGCTGCGCATAATGAACTATTGTCGCGCACCTTATTGGTCCCTCAATTGAATACAATTGATGGAGAGTTCGCAGTTGTCTTCTCATTGAAACAAGACAACATCCTATGAATGCAACCGGTTACATTCGTACGGTACTATATCAAATTTCAAAAGTATTCTGTTTAAATAAATTGCCGTCGTGAAATGTAAACTTAAATGGAAAACGATTACAGACAAAAAACAACACAAAAGTGGGAAGCTTCGCCACAACTGTACAATTTGTTTAATATTAATTACGTAACGCAAAAAGATACTGGCACTTCTCGCAATGGATGCGTTCATCTTGTAAACTTTTTACAGAGACGCCAAATTACGAACAATAAGCGATACTTTTAAAATGGCTTTACAAAAAAACTTCTTTCCAAACATTCGGCGACGCATATCAATGTGCAGACGTTCAACAATCCAAGTTTCTTTTTAAGTCTCACCCATGACGCATACTCGTTTGACCGCATCCTTGACTTGAGAGCAACTGCGATGCGATTTAGGGACACTGGGTTCAATTCCCATGTTGTAAATATTCAAAACAATTAGTGTTTTCGCTTTAAAGACATATTGCTAACTTGAATATGAACTCTATACATGTATCTTCTAAGATAATAAAACAAATGCTGTTTATAACTTTGATGACAAGGCAAGGTTTTAAAATGTCGACTCATCACGTTTTTAATTCCGTTTTCTATGCACCTAAAATAGAGTAATATTACACATAATTCTTATGAGATTCTATAGTTGTCGTAAATGAATAAATCAAACGCAGTCGAATAATTATATTTAGCTCTAAAATGACGACTCGTCTGAAATCAATGCATCATAAATTATTTATAAGTAAATGTCGTCACTTACTTGAACGACTGTGTTTAGTCTCGCACGCAGTCGAGACAGACGGACAGTTCAATCGCATCTGCTCTGTACGCAAACGCTTTATTTATTACTTCCTCGATAGTAAATAAGCTTATATAAGGTCGGTGATAATCATAAATACTATGCAAATAAATCATTGAATGTGTAATTTAGCTAAGTGCAAATTGCTGCCTTCACAAGTAGTCCAGGGAAGTGGTGATTAGCGCAGGTGCGATGATGCCGCTCGCTTCAATACGTTATACGGTTAATTAGTCCCTAGTTTGATTTATAGCCACACTTTGTCTTCGCCCCGGTCAACGGTACCTATTTATCTATATCGGATTGCGGAGCGTTGACGTGTAGCGGCAACTCGGAAACTGCAGAATAAAACAATGTTGCGGAGTGCCGGTGAATTTTCAGTCATTACGTTGCGGAGACACGCAGGCTTGCACACGTGAATGTTTTTTTTATCCTGCGAATCTTTCGACACCGCCACGCATCGCGAATGATGCTGAATGTAACACCGATGACCCAATTGCAGGTTGTCGTACTCTATCTGCGTGAATCATTAACTACGAATGCGTAAATTGAATTGATATCCCTAAGTTCTTATCAAATACGTATTCTATTTCACATTTATGAGTCAGTTGCAATTTGATACGCAATAAGTCATATGTCATTTAATAATTCAGATTAAAGCCTTTGCCTTTTGTTTTGATCCCTCGAAAGAAATCTTCTTAGGTCAATTAACTTAATGGATTAACATTTTACCTGTATGTGGGGCACGTGTTGCGTGATGACCGCAAGCAACTCGTTCTCACCGCGACTGACTGTCCATTAGTGTAATACGTGAACTAAGTACTTTGCTTTCGTTCAGAACTGACACTCTAAATATTTTAATAGTTTTATAATTCACGCGATGACCCAGGTCACGGCTTATAGATAAGCTTTTATAGCAATGCTTTAGGCCTACGCTAATATAATCCATCTACAGATTAACATATCGCCTCATTTTTTTAAGTAGACGAGTTTTTGTCTTTCTTTTATTTTATTAGTTTTAAAACCAAAATACATTTTTAATCAACTACCCTTTATATCAACAAAAAATAAAGGATCAATTTCCTTCGCCCTATAACGTCTAAGACCAACGATTTAGTTCAAGTACTAAAGCCCGGATCCTTTTATCTCTGGGATATTGTTCGATAGTAATCCTCAGGGCAATAACTTCTATCAATTTTACGAAGTAAGATGAGTTGAGAGAAAAGGCAGATTAACAGAAAGTCTGATTAACTATTTAAATATAGTAGCCTATTATTATAACTATTTAAATGCAGTAGTGTCTTACTCAACATGGGTGAGTCCCCAGTATGAATAGATCATAGAACCATAAAGCACGGCATTTCACAACAGTTGTGTATGGCTAATATCCTCGGGTATGTAATTCCCACGATATCAGCTGGTTCATGCACCGGTGCGCGCCCAGCAGCCCGTGACGTCACGACCACTGATAACGGGTCGCGGTCTCGTGGATACGTGGGCAAAGAAAATTCATACACTTTGACTCGACCTACAATGTTAACGGAAATACGTATCACGGCCGTGACCCGAGTGTTCTAGATTTCAATAATGCAGTTTTCAGTCAGTTCTCCCGCTTAATTTACATAAATGTGAATCACCTTTGAATAAGCAAGTTTGTCATAAATCAAAACCAACACTGTTGGTTTTGATTCATTTGATTACAAAGTTTCAGGTGCTAAATTTCTAATTAAAATTATAATTATGAGGCTAAATCATAAAATTAAGTATTCAGTTTCTCTCCCCTTTTGTTTTAAATTCAAACCCTTTACGCTTCACTATCTAAAATTGCATCAACAGGCGAATTTATTTATTTTCATACAAATTAAACGCAAAAGTTTATTGATTGGACATAAAAGATATCGATAGCAGCTCATTTGGAGTCACCTTTCCTTGAACCTAATCATAGTTCTGCAACAGTTAATATATTACTAGTAGAAGTAGAAGAAAAAATGCTAGCTACGCAAACAAAATGTTAAATTGCAAAACGGGGTGATTCCGTTGCGAAGCTGAAGAAAAACAATTCGCGGAAACTTACGATTGAAAAGCACGATAACAAAATAGATAGACCAAAAAGTACAATGATTAAAACTGTAAAATAAAACAACAAATAGGACAAAGCGGGCGCGAGCTCTACAAAATGATTTATGGACAGTTAGCACCGGTAAACCAGAGGCGTCGGCGCCCGGGAAAGCAATTTACTGTGACGCAAAAAACAGCCAGCGCCCGATAGATCGACCCGAGCATTGTGCCGGCACGAAGCAGCGAGCGCTGTTATTAACAGATCAACTAACGGATCCAATCGCTGCACATACGTTGGACTTATTATGAACTTTCTTTATGGAAGTCACCTTGGGATTAGAGGGCTAAAATGATACCTGTCCAAGAGTTAGCAGTGCCTCGCATTTTCATATTTGCGAAAAACTTAATTATAGTTTCACCGATTACACCAAGTGCCACAACTGTACTATGGGTAAAAAGAGTAAAGAAATCTAACAAGGTTTTTTTGACGCTGTGACTATATGTAAAATAGTAAATCATGGCCTCATCATTTGTCTATTAGATCGTAATGAGATGATTTCTAGTAAAAATATGTAACGTGATGCGTAGTACAACGGTGTAGAGAAAGTGGAGCAGCGTCCAGTTTCATTAGCTATCGAGATGGGAAGGCGTCCGATAACAAAGCCATTACACGATAATTGCCTTTCGGTCAGCCTTCTCCCTCCCCTACCATTCCACGTCCGACCTCCGCCGCACATTATTCAGGATTCATAAAGGGTCTGACATTATAAATTTCATACAGCTTATTCAGTAAACCGTTTGCTGATATTCTGCTTTTATTTACTGTCAACATATGGATGCATTTGTATTTTGATGGCAGAATGGTGAAATAAAATTAAAAAGTAGCAAAGTTTTAACAAAACATTTTGTATTGTACTCCAATAAAAAGAGAGAAAATAAAATTGGAATTGGATTACAGTGCGTTACTGGAATCATAAGTTGATAGCCTTATTAACTATAAGATCTGTTTTACAATAGAGCTTGAAAATTGGAAAATCTTTCACATAGATTCTTCGTTCTTGTGCCTGCCATTCTTCAATGTAGGAAACTATCGCAACAATTATTAATCTCACCTTTGAGTAATAACTGATATTGAAAACGTAACATGAAGTCGCATCTTATAGTTATAAAGTCTACCATAAATAAGATATAGATATGAAACGGGTACAATATCTACATTGACTTTAACAAGACACTATTACGTACAATGTTGTTCATAACAATGATTGCAGGTAATGGAGGCGAATGGCGATGGCAAACAAAGTTATTCACGACCATTCCACTAATAGGGAAAAGAACAGTTACCCAATTTGTTTATAGATACCTTGAAAATGTTAACAACGTATTCGGATTTAAGATTTAGGTCATTGATATAAAGAGTATGCGAAGCTAACAGGGGTCAAGTGTTATTACTCTCGTTAATGATACTTAAATTGATACTTCGATATTTATTATACATCCGGAGCGACATCGTGAAAAATATATCTGTCATTTAAGTGTTGAGATACAGGAAATATGTGTTTTAAATATCTTTTCTTTTTAATTGACGCTCTGCGATAATTCTGAGTTATCCCAAGTGCTAAGTGGCTGTTGATTTTTCTTCGTAGCGTCTTATGATGTCAAAAGTGCGCTTGCAATTGAGGAATGTGAATTAAACAAACATTTGTAAAAGCTAGTCAATCTAATTGAAGAAGTAATTATTGATAGAACCGCATACACAGTTCAATAGTTTATAGTATTAATAGGATCAAAGTAGGATTAAGTACGAAGCTTACGTGAAAATTGAAAGCTTAGCTCTCCTGCACGTCAGTATAAGAACAATAGGAGACAAATAGCTTTGCATACGTTCATAGGCGACGCATCGAGTTATCATCAGACATTGAGCCCTTATAATGGCGCCAGTGTGACCTGCATATCGTTGTCTATTAGCAAACCCAAGTGGCATAGAGTAGCTTTACGATCAATAAATTTAGTAATAAATTTTATTGCTGTATAGTTGTAAATTCAAGTTGTCTTAATATTTAAAACGTTTTTAAGGTCGAAGTAAGTAAGTACCTACGTAGTTTATTTTGCGCATTGCTTTCGCCACTTAAACAAGATGACATAATCTCTACGTATGGAAAGGTCGTATTGATAAAAAGTCTTCCTGTATGATATCGTCGGGCGCGGTGACGTCGCCTCCAGACAAAATTATCCAGGAAGACGTAATTTATTTTATTTTATACAAAGATAATGCACTCCATGATGCATGACTACATTTTGGGTGCAATTTTTATTCGTGAGAGTAATCTGGACGTAGTATTAGCAGTGAATATCGGATTCTATCTTAAGACATTCTATTAAGGCTTTGTCTTTCCTCAATCTAATTGACCCAATTACAAATAGCTGCAGCGTAAATAGATCGTAGCCGTCTATAGCCTTATGACCTAAATGTTATAGTTACATTGGTAGACTAACGAAAGAATACAAAACCATATTATAAATATCTCTAAACATCCACAATTAAAAGGTCAGAGCTATATGCAGATTTAATCAATGCTTACCAAACGATCGGCTCATCTATGTTTGGAGAGCCCTTCAAATGTCAAGAGTTGATCTGTTTATAACAATATGCATACAAACACTCGAGCTATGCCACACCTACATAATTGATGCTACAATTAGTTCCTGCTAGCTTGCATTCTTCAATTCGAATTTATCTTTGCTAACTAAAGTTCAATGTGTTAGAGAGAGCAAGACATAGAGTATTCTATTTGTGCTGTAACATTTTTCTCTCTCAACAGTAATGAGTGAAGATTTACTTTATTAGGATGAAATCGATGTTTGAAAGAGTAGACCTTGAACGTTTTTTCTCGCATGTTTACACGAAGCGTATTAAATTCAATAGCCATTAACATTGACAATGACGCAATAAAGGACAGTGTGAATTAGTAGCGACATGACAATGATGCATTCATCAGTAGCGTCAAAGTGTCATGAATCGTAAACTAAACTTTATTACCTATACAATATACTGAAACAAAATGAACAAGAATAATTTCAATTAAAAAAAAAAACGTGTCATCATGGAAATTTCTAGTTCATGATTTGCACTGGGGTATAAATTATTGGTACTAATACTAAAAAAAAATTAAGTAGAGTATGACGAACACTTAGCTACTGAACACAAGTTACATATACTATGCTCATATAAGTTGTAAAATCATCGTAATATTAAAAACACTCCACCCCAGTTCATGTCGCACCACAAACATTTACGCTAACATAGGAACAGCGCCTGGTACATTTGAATAGGCAATGTAATAGTAAGTGAGGAAAGTCAGACGGGAGGTGTCCTTGTGTTCGGAGCGGTGTTTCCCCTCGGCGCATCGAGTACGAGACAAGTAGGACCCATTGTTTCGGTAGGAATTCGCAAGGGCGGAAAATCGAAATCAGCAAGCACCTCGGAAGTATTCTTTATTTACTTATGCAATCCACCAAATACTTCAATTATTTGGTCGGTTTTTTTGTTATCTGTGCTTTTATATGAAACAAATGACGTATGTTTTGTTTCTCGGTAATTTAACTACTCAGTAACTTTAACTGTGACAGTTGAATAATAATTCCTGTATAACGTAGGAAAAGTATAAACTAAAACACTATCAACATGGTTGAAATAAATGAAGTTGCTGATTGTTCTCAAGACAAACCTCTATTTGTATAATTCAATGTCTAGATAACCTACGATACAAAACGACGTGACCCGCAAGCATGACGTGATATATTATAAAAACAATCATTTAATTTATTTCTATAGTCACATAATGAATGGGTTCGTTTACGTAATTTATTAAAATAACCGTTAAATTAAACGCACCGGTTTCACTGTCAGTTGTCTTTGACGTTGAGTCAGATTATCTCCCTACTAAGTTATTGTCATTTAATCGAATCACAAATGGGCAAGACGGGATTTGTGGGGACAAATAGGTCGTGTCAATCCTCAATTGAACTTTTTAAATCTAATTTACTCCATTTGTATTAACGATGAGTTATTGTTGCTCTCGAAATAGCTGCGTGAAGTCCGATATGTATTTTTTCTATTAAATTATTTGTGTATCTTTTACGTTAAACAAATTAGAATTATTTTAACATTAAGTTTGTCTACTATTTATTTCTATAATATATTGTTTGCTAATGTTAAATATCATAAATCTTGAACAATAGACTGTTTAGACAATACTAATTGATAGAAATGTCAATTAGGATTATTAAAAGCTGCAAACTCAATTGAATAAGGTATTATAGGAGAGGTATGTATGTCTGCAACCTTGGTACCAGTTCATATTAATGATCAGTTGTATTCAAAACCTGTTGGTGTTGTCTATCAACGTTGTATTTAAATACTATACAACTCAAGTTCACGCGAAGGTCAAAATGTATCAACTAATTTGTTGTGTCTGTTTGAATTTAAAAAAAAAAAACAAAGCCATATTATTTAAATGTTATTTTATAAAACCTTATGGTTACTTAAATAACTTTTAAACCATTGAATCAGCAATAACGTCATTGCCTTTTGTATAAACATACCATATAAAGTCGTTCTATTCAATATTTGTACAGGTTAATAAAATAAATTGGTACAATGCACGTTTGAGTAGCATTGAAGGACAATGTTAATTGTAATATGATTGTGTACTCTACGAAAGAAACAATTAAATCGATTACTCCAGGCGCCAGCAAGTCCACGTTAATATGTGGTACGTCTACGGATATCATACTTTGATATTATACCCTTTTATAATTGCAATACGATTTAAATGCATTCCAATTATTTGTTAAAAATTACAATGTATAAAACCTCTAGTTAAATAGCATTTTTTATTTTAAAGGTATTGGAATACATAAGGTTATGTTAAAACGTATTTATTACACGAAGGCAAAAGCTTAAATAATTTAATAAACAAAATGAAATTTGTGAGAGCTCGCTGCGTCACCTCTAACGTAATTATTTTGTGCTAAAATCGCCTCATGAAGTCTAAAAATATTGTTTCTGTTAAATACTGCTGACGAGTTTAAATGTATTTTATCTGATGATAATAAAAAAATTATTAGGTTTCAAAAACATATAGAAACGCAATTTAAGAAATTGCAGCCATGAATGAACTGGAAAGGGAAAGAAAAGTGACTGTAATTTGTAGTTTCATGGTGAAAGACCAAAAACCGGTCAATCAATGCCGATTAAGATTGTTTGTATAAACGGGTTTTTCTTTGTTCCAGGTACTAAGTATGAAGGAGATACGAAGTTATGCGAGAGGATGGTGGATGGTGTTAATAGTGGCCACAATGGCCGGCCTCGTGCAGTCCGACGCCGTCAGTCTATACAACGCACAGCTTAAGCAGATGGTTACTTCAAGCACACTCAAATGGACCACCTTGAAGAAAGAGGCTATGGAAAACTATGTCACCGGGGTTGATTCTCCTCAAGGTAAATTTGGGTTAAACAATCTAAATTTTTTCTGACCACAGTTTACTTTAAAAAATATAATTGAATATTATGCAAATGTTATTAAAATGTTTTGAATTTGCATAGAAATTCATTGGCTTTATTGTCCTTTCCTTTTTATTAACTTTAAATAACAAGTCTCATAGGCCATTTTGTTTCAGGACCAATTTATCTTTGTCGGTCTCGTCACGAGGGCGATATGCTACTTGGCTTGCTAAAATCCGATTATAAGTCATGCTCCATTGCTGGAACAAAAAACTACGAGATTTTCGAAGTACTCGAAAACATTGAAAACGCATCATTGCTAATATGGAAGCCGTGGGGCAAGTATCATGCTAAGCCGAGTGGCGCTGTTACCATCGACTCTTCGCTCGATTCCGCTTTTATTGGCAGGATGAAAGCAGAAAGCGGTTATTCTCACTACATAGGGAGGATTAATTACGAAAGTACAATCGGTCATTTAATCACTTTCGATGACCAGAATAATGAACTTGTAGAAAACAGTGGAGAAATTCTCGTCGAAATTGAACCTATCAGTTATAGAATTGAAAATGTACAAGTGGACTCGGATACTGAACACATTCGTCAAACCGACCCTCAAGTATTCGAGGAACGAATTTTGCGAAACGAAGACGAAACTGGCGCCACGGTTACCACTGAAATTGAATACAAGTATAATTACAGCATATCCTGGGGTCATGGGCACGGCATTGCTATCGGTTTGAATACTACCATAGTATTGAGCGACGGAACTGTACTCCCACAGATCGAATGGGCCAACCCCTATACGGAAGAAAAAAAGGAACTTTACAAATTGGAAAAATACCTCGAACCAGGGACTGCTTGTAACGTTACTTTCAGAGGTTACTATACAAATAAAGATGTTCAATATACTGGCAAGTTAATTACGAACTATAAAGAAAATGAACCCAGGTCCCGGCCAATGAGGGGTGAAAGAATCGAAAATACCGTTGAAGTAGAAGCTGTGTATGGTGAGATATATTACCTCGTCAACAACACACTGGTGCCGACCACCACAACCACAACAACTACTACCACCACCACAACAACAACTACTCCTCCACCGGAAACTGCTCCACCAGCGCCAGAAGAGAATGACATAGCAAGTCCCATGAAAAAAATGAATTCTGGTGAAATCGACAGCAATGATATGATGGGAGACAGCAGCGAAGGATTGGTTAAGGCAGCTAAAGAAGACAACATCAATCGTTCGGTAGTCGGTGGACTTGGAAGCAAACCGAACGCTGGTACGGTCCAAATATTATCCACGGCTCTAATCATTCCAGTTTTTGCGCTTCTTATTTAAGTTCACGAGTTGAAGGTTAATGTTTTTGTTGTATATAGTAAATCAGAAGAATATCATTGATATAGTCGCTTTCAAGTTTAAAATGTAGTGATTGTCATCTAAGCTTTATGCTGTTGTTTAATGGTGTGGTAAGAATACCCTTTGGGTAAATTTGTATATAGATTTTTTTACATTAGACATTCCTGTTAAATAATTTCATTCCAGTATGTAAATTATTGAGCCAAAATTAAACAGATGAGTGTAAATAGATTATGTATATAGTTAAGGATACGGAAGTCGCAGAGCGACGGATTACATCTGGACGTCACAAATGTTAAGCTGGTTAGAATCGTGGAGTCGATTATGAGAATAGAGTCACTGTTACCAATACATACACAACAAATTACTCTTATCACTTGAGACTACCCATATCGACGATAAATTTAACTGCTAAGCTGTTCAACTTGATGTAGGAAAAAATTATGTAGCCGTTTTGGGATTGCTTGTGTTACCAGGATCAAATGCTATTTAAAGTGGAAAAAAAGTTCTAAAAACAGAGTTATATCCCAATTTAATTAAATAATAACATTACCTATTGCTTAAATCGTAAATAAAAATTACAACTATTTTAAGAGCAGCTAAAATTAGTATTTCTTCCATAACAATATTGTGGACTTATTTATTCTATTTTCTTGGGTAGTTCCGTACTTTTATGTTGTTATTTCTAGTTATAAGTTACAAGAGTTTAAATCCAGAATTGAAAGATATTATTTTATTTAAACTTGTAGGTTTAATGAATATTTATTTTGTTTTAATTTTAAATTCGTTAAAATAAGTTTAGTTGTACATGGCACGTATTTCAATAATATTCAAATATTAATTTGTTGTTATTGCCAAAGGATTATCTATATTTGTGAAAAATTAACTATTTCAATTTTCTATCCCTCCGTCATAAGGCTAATAAAGATCCATCGCAATATACCCAGATAGAATAATAATAATGCTTAGCGATGGTCAGACTATATGTAAAAAAAAAGATATTTTTATATATTCATACTTTGTAAGTGTTCGCTCTACGGATAAGCTGTAGTTACATTAAAATAATCCTTCATACATTTAGTTATTCGCTTAAAAGAGTATTTTCAGTATTTTGTCACAAACTAGAATTTAGTATGTTCATGTTAGATTTAAATTAAAATGAAATCTCGTATCTAAATATGAAAAAATAAATCCCACCTAGATTATTTATTACATAAGTTTTAAGTTTTAATACATATGCAAAATGAAGATATATTTAATTGTACCAACAAAATCTTTCTCAAAGCATTTGCCAGCTTTATAAATGTAAGAATTAAAAACATATAATTGAAAAATATCTATGCATAGTAGGTTAATGCATCTGTGGTCTTCATGTTCGATGTAAGATTTATTCGCTTCTTTCTTAAAAAGCAAATCTTTGCCGCAATGTTATGGCGACTGTTATATGTCAAATAAATTCTCTATGTATATGTGAAAACCTCTAACATCAATATTGTTTTGCGAAGCATAATTGTGATGTTCCCTGTAAGTTTGTTTTAGTTCATTAAACTGTAAATTAAATTAATAGTGTTTTATTTTAATATCAATTAGAAGTCTTAGAAGTCGTTATACTGTTTTTTGAAAACTGTATAATATAGATTTATCCTACACAAATGGGGCAATGAGTCCAGGAAATATTTGAAAATTTTCAGTAAGTACAGCTTTTTGTTTAAAAAATTTAAGCTTTCTACAAACTATTTAAAATAATAAAGTGCAATTAAAAGTAAGCTTCAAACGATATCCATATAATTTTGATGGCATATCTAAAAGTGAACTCACAAATTCGATGTTCCTGAAAACTGTTTATCTTTTAGGACAGTTTCTGTACGAAACAGACGGTCGTAAAAACACGGATATGGCGATAAAATAAAACTTTTGCAAGCCTTCCCTTCCCTCTCATTGGCTGGTGAACCCTTTTGTTAGCAAGTTGGTGAATAAAATTTAACATAAACATCTACATGACACATAACATTAGACTAAATAGTTTGATATTAATAAGGGAAATTTAACCAATGACTTAAGTACATAAAACAAGTCTTGGGCATAAAAAAGATTCATAGTCAATTATACCGGAATGCGGTGTTGAATTTCGGTATCCCAAACATTGCAAAAGAATTCCAACCAAAAGGTATTCGACAGAAATTGCTAAAGGTAAAGTTCAAGGCGTGCAGTTGGCATTTTAGAATCGCCATTAAGAGGATAGTTACGGGAACCTTTTCCTGTATGTCCTAATTTGTCAGAGTCGTAAAAAACATTGGATACATCATGAAAACGTGAAAGTTGTTAGAATTGCTGCCATGGAAATGTCATGAAAAAATCTAATTTGACAAAAATGTTTTGTTCAAGGTGCTCAAGGTAAAAATAGTATAAATCGGATTATATTTCATCAAATTAATTATACAAGGGTATTCACCTTTTTTAGAGCAAATATTTTATAATACTTTACAAATAACACGAAATGTTCTTTATTAAACGAAATTACATTATGCAAGTAATATAAAGTAATAAAATGTCTGGTTTAATACTGAAACTTTGTTTGTTTTAAAATGTTTTAGAACGAGATAATCATATTAACAAAATTCCAGTCTCGTAAGACACATTGAACTTTGAAAAAGTCTCTAAAACCACATTTTAAATACGCAAGTACATTAAAGCGTATGTAAAAGAACTTTTAGCCATATCACGTATTCGCAGCATAATGTCGCTGTCAGACAACGAACCCAAATGACCCGGCCTCCAATTCACATCGAGTTTGTCACGATTTTAGTCATCATCGTCCAGTTAGTAACTGACAACTTATGTAATACCAGCTTTCGGACGACTTTCGATGCATAGAAATAAAAAAAAAACAAACTAAAAAGCCTATGTGTTCTTCCAGACTATGTGCTACATCTATGCCAAATGTCATCGAGATTCGTTCATCCGTTTAGGTGACAAACTCTTACAAACATCTATCCATCTAAACATTCGCATTTATCATATTAGTAAGACAAAATACCGTTAGAAGGCAAATACGATTTCCTTTAAATAATTGCCTCAGGTGGTAAATTATGTGATAAAAATAATACCAAGTTTAGCTCGTGTGGTAACCAAGGCTATATTTTTGTGTTTTATGAAAATCGGATACAAATAGATTTTAAAAAAAAACACAGCAATATAAACTGATATAAATTCAGATTTATTCCTCCACCAGAAATATAGATAACTATATTTTAAGATTTATATTATTCTGTTGGCGAGATTTGTCGTTTAATGTTATCGTGTGAGTTATTTATAACGGTCGTCAGATGGCGCCAACGACTCAGCGGACGGAATATTAAAATAACACCGAAGACCTACTAGAATATATCAATCATCAAACATGATACCAATACGGTAATAATAACGAAGTAACGGCCCGAGTCGAGGGTCTTGAGGGAGCCCTCGAGCTCAGTTAATCATAAACGAGGTTTAGGCTAAGCGCCTTCTGCGATCGACCACCTCAAGTCCGGCGAATCTGTAAATGCCTCTTTAAAGCAGACAGTGGCAATTCAGTCACAAAAAAACAAAATATTCTCAAAAAAACAGTACACTAAAAAGTAACGAAATAATTCCTTGAAAATAGTAAACCTACCTTATTGTAACTGT